TTACCGTCTTTGCAATCAGGTAAGTACAACCTATCCTAAAAACTTAAAATAAGTTACCGATGGTACCAGAACCGAGAATCAATTTTGGCTAGGAACCAGTACTGGTACCGACTTTGAAAAAGTGGTACCGACCAATCACTATTATATATACATATATGACAACATGTCACGTTAAGGATCTCGTGACCACATGTAAGTGGCCTTCAGACCGCTAAGGGTTAAGAGTCAAAAAATGAGAAAAACCAATTTTCCCCCCATTAAACCCGCATAAATCGCTGTTCCCATGTTTTGATCATGCTGGTTTGCAGAATCGTTTGTTTATCCCGCCCTACATCTTCAAGCAAAATTTAATCAAAATCGGACCAAAATTACTCATGTTATTGCGTCCACAGACGTGTAAATCTGTATATATATAACCAATTTGAAAGAATAGTGCTTTTGGCCTCTAGGGATATCAAAATAAAAAATTACATCAATCCTGGGTTAAGGTCTTATTGTGCCACCTACAGTAATAGCTACTTCCCTATAGAGAAATTTTCTAAAAATGAAATGAAATGAAATGAAATGAAATGAAATGAAATGAAATGCTTTATTGTCGTTAAAACTGAGTACAAAGTTCATGACAATCGTCAAAAGAAAAAGAAAACAATCAAGATGGCAACTAAAACTAAAACTCTAAACCAAAGTACTCTTCATGTTTATACAGGCAAGCCTGGGTTAGAGTAGTTTTTAAAACATGTTTAAATTTTGAAACACACAGGTTTTTGATGGATGCAGGCAAGAAATTGTACATTTTAACACCTTGGTACTCAAAACTATTTTGAGTGGCTGTATACTTATGCCTTAGTGTAGACAGATTATCTTTAGATCTAGTACAATAGTTGTGAACATCAGATATCTTTTCAAAGTGAGAAATGTTTTCTTTTACATACAACAAACTTGCCAAAACATACAAGGATGGAAATGAGAGAATGTTAAGACTCACGAAAAGGGGCTTACAATGTGTTCTTCTATTCACACTACAAATTAACCTCACCGCCTTCTTTTGTAAAGTAAAAAGCAGCCTGTTAGCATAAAAACTGTTGGCCCACAGTGAGGTACCATAGGACAAATAGCTATGAATGTGGCCATAATATATACAAATAAGGACATCATCTGAAACAGTGGACCTAAGTGCTCTTATCATAAATATGCCTTTTACAATTTTAGATGCTACAAAATCTACATGTGAAAACCACTTCAAGTTTGACTGCAAATGAAAACCCAAAAACTTCAGAGTGTTTACATCATTACCATTACTGCTTAGACTAATAGTCAGGTCCTGAGTCTTATCAGCATTAAGACATAACTTGTTTGCATTACACCAGTCGTTAATAACAGCAGATTTTGTGTCCAATGTGTCTGTAACATCATTCAAAGAGTTACCCCGTACACACAAGGCCAAGTCATCAGCAAAAAGAAAGCTTTTTACAGATAAGTCATTAATATTACAAGGTAAGTCATTTATATACAGTATAAACAGGGTAGGGCCCAATATAGAGCCTTGGGGCACTCCGTGGGGCACTCGAACAGGACTAGAATAAGTGCCATTTAGATAGACTTTTTGCCATCTGTCACTAAGATAAGATTGAAAAAACCTAACCAAAACATCATCAAGGTTATAGCAAGAAAGCTTATTCACAAGGAGATCATGAGCCACTGTGTCAAAGGCCTTAGACATGTCGTACGATCTGAACACTATACCACTTTTGGCCTCTAAACTTTGAAAGCAATTTGATATCAGTGCCTGGGTTGCTTGGACAGTGCTGTGTTTGGGCCTAAAGCCAAACTGACTACTTGCTAAAAGGTTACTATCCTCAAGATACTGAGAAAATCTACGATGTACGAGATGTTCCAAGACCTTCGACACTGCAGGGATAATAGATATAGGCCTATAGTTAGCAATGACATTTTTAGGCCCTTTTTTATGGACTGGTATAACCTTAGAAATCTTGAACTTGTTTGGGTAGCAGCCTTGTGTTATACAAAGATTAAATAGGTAAGTCAAAACTTCACTTATGTAACTAGAAGCTAACTTCAAGATGGGGACATTAATTCTGTAAATATCTAAACAAGAGCTATTGTTAAGACTGTTGATGGCTGCATACACCTCTTCTACAGTAAATAGTCCAATCCTAAAAGCATTGTTGTCCTCAATAGTCGGAAGAGCGTTGCAAGAGGTCAAATTTCTAAGATATTGCTCAGGACCATTTGAAGAGGCGGGAACATTACTTCTCAGGTTTTCAACACAGTCGACAAAGTAGGAGTTCAGTCCATCGGCAGTTAGGCAGTCAGGAATAGACAAAGGCTTACTATTACAGTTGCTTATTTCATTAATGATTGACCAGGATGTTTTAGAAATATTACTAGAGTTTAGCAGTAAACTGTTGTTATGGTCAAGTTTGGCTTTCTTGATTTCTTTGCGGTACTGCAACTTTAATGAGTTGTACTTAGTTTTAACTTCAGCAGTCCCTGCATTACAAAACAAAAAATATAGCCGGTCCAGCTCATTTTTCATATTTACAAGTCCTTGATGATACCACCTTTTGTTAGGTTTGTTGTTAAAACCGACAGTAGTTTTCAAGGGAATCGAACCATTTAAGGCCCACAACAGTTTGTCAAAAAACACTTTGAATTTAGCATTTAAGTCTAGGCTATGGTCATATAATTCAAACCAATTCAACTGACTAAGGTTGGATAAGAATTTTAAGGAATTCTGAGGATTTAATTTCCTAGTAACTTTTCTCGGTAAAGAAATTGGATTAGATTTAGAATATGACTCGATGTTCATTGACAGAAAGGCCGCATTATGATCTGAGACAGGAGTGTGTATAACTGAGGCTTCCCATCTATCTGGGTGTACTGAGGTCACAATATTGTCCAAGCAGGTACCTTTGTTTACACTTCCAGCTGCGACATTAGGCCTAGTGATTTCATTAATTGCAGTGTGAAGACCAAAACTAGATATTAGGTTTTTAAGTTCCCGGACTTCAATGCTGTCAGACAGAAAGTCTATGTTAAAATCACCTGTGCAAAAGAAGTCAAGTTTCACACCATGCATAGTTGAGAAGACATCATGCAGTTTATCCAGAAATAAATAAACATTACCTGAGGGTGGTCTGTAGAAGTTTACGATCACTGTTTTGTGCTTAACGATGTACACCGCTGAGGCTTCAAACGTGAGTTCTTCCACTAATATACTCAAATTTAACTTATTGTAAATTATAAAGTCTAGGTTCTCTTTTACAAGTATTGCAGATCCACCATGTTTAGACATTGATCTAGCAAAAGAGGTTGCAACTAAGTAGCCTCTTAGGCTTAAGTTGTTAATATCATTTTGTGAGACCCAGTGTTCAGTCAAACAAATCACATCCACACTACTGTCATACGCAAGCAAACGTAGGTAATCTAGTTTGTTAGTAATGGATTGAATATTCCACAGGAGGATGTTTAGTTTTTTAGCTGACCTAGATAGTATTTTATTAGACGACTGCTGTAAGCAAATGTTAGAGAAGTTCCCAATCGCTTTGTTATGCGTTGAGAGTTGTGTGTCAGAATTATCTGTCACTTCAGACTCTACGTTAAATTTACAGAGTTGGGGGGAGTTTCTAAAAAATTCTCCTGACACTGAGCAGTGCTTGTTGCTTTTTTAGCAAACCTGAAGGCATTTATATATGCCCCAGTAGGCCAGAATTCAGGCAAATATATTTTGTCCCACAAGTGAGCAGGAACCCCTACCTTAAATGTCCGATAGCCTGGGAACCTGTTCCTCATTTGTGTGACTTTGTAATCACCACTAATTTCATCACTTATATATTTATTAACTGTATCACAGTCAACGTCTGTAGCCAGCCTTGAGATGAATAAATACCTGTATTTGTTGACAGTTTTTAATTTATTGCTAGTGTTGGCAGAACCTGTGATCGAATTGTCGTTATTAAAATGTTGTTTTCCAGAGATTTGTATTTGTTTATTCACCTTAAGCCCATTAGCGTTAACTGAACTTGAACTTGTTGTAGTTGGTAGGTTAAGGTTATGTTTATACGGTTTTGACAGTTCAGTTTGACGTTTTCCACCATTCCTCTTCACTGATGTTTTTTGTTTGGCAGGCGTAACAGTTTCGCTGTTTCGCTTGTCTACTGCAAGAGCAGACGTCGCAGGCAAACTAGCAGAACTTTTGGTGGCAGACGACACGGGCAAAGTAGACGAATTGTTGACAAACTGATGACAACTACTAAGATTAGAATTGTCTTTATGACTGTGAATAATATTCTCTGAGTTGTCATTTGAAGATTTAGATGAGTCTATACTTTTGTCACTTTTAGCAATCATTTTAGATTTATTTCTCAAAACACTTGCAAAAGTGTTACTACTATCTTTTAACATAAGATCGCTGACAGCCTCTGCCTGATTAGACATAGCAGTTTTTAACCTTAAATTTTCTATTTTAATTTCGGAAATTTCTACTTTAATTTCTAAGTTGTTTTGTGTTAGTTCATTGATTTTTGATATCAGATATTCAATTTTCTCTGAACACGGGCAGACATGGTTGAGAACTGAGTTGGTGTCGTAAGCTACCGAATTGTCCGTGTTGTTACTCACGTTAGTCTCAGCGACGGAGCATATATCACACTTCCAATCAATTTGAGAACAATTTTCCACAAAGTTTGATTCTGATAAACTGGTACAATTTAAATGAAACATATATTTACAATCACCACTACATTGGATTTTGTCACATTTTAAATTAATGATTTTCTTACATGAGCCACATTTCAGTGACTTGTTTCTTGGCGGCGGTGCCATCTTGATCTCTTCTCCAAAGAGAAAAGAGAAAAGAGACTGTTCCCCAATCTTGCACTATTAAAAAAATCAATGATAATCATAAAGGAAATACTAAAATGTAATTAATGGTACAAATAATGGCGTAATAAAACTAATTTTGTTTTAAACATTGTTTATCATGTAGAAAAATTAAAGGACAAACAAATTATATCTTGAATGTATGACAAACATGTCAAAATATCACAACTACAATATATAAAATGTGTCAACAAATGTTAACCAAGTCTGAAAACTTAAACTAAAACCGAGGTTGAAAATGGAAAGGAGTCCTGTTGCGCCTCGCCCTTCCCCGGAATTGCCCTCTCACTTGGTCCAACAGTGTGCTGCGGGTGAGGGGGATATTTCTACCTCTGAGGAACATGGGGCTGACTCCTGCAAAGGCAAATGTGTAACTGTTTATCATCAACATTGTATAGGATAAATAAAACATTTGTTACCAAGCAACTTGTCTATTAAATTGTAGACATTTCACTGATCAAAAAAAAAAAAAAAAAAAAAAAAACAATGATTAACAACATTTTCAAAAAAAAGATTACCGTAATCAGTAATTTCTACTTTAAAATTCATCTATTGGGTTTGTTAACAAATCTTGTGGAAAAACAAACTCGTTAATTAGGCATTTTTAGGGTTTTTACAACACTCAATTCCCAGAAATTCTAAAAAACAACAGAACTTTAATGAAGCTTTATGTAAATTAACAGTCAAAGATAAAACAATAAAAAATAATACAGTTTTAAACAGATGCAAAAAAATTGAGATAAAAAGAAGCATTGATATTCCATTATTCCATAGCCAATTGAGTGGATCGGCTAATAAATCCTGTTGAGGGGATGACAAAGCCATTCAGTTTGTGTACCAAATCAATGTATTTGGCTGAAACATTTATACATTGGAACAAATTAAACACAAAATATTATTCTTATAGTAAACCAATTATCTTTAAAAACCGTATGATTTTACTATTTTGACAAAAAACCTACCTTCTTAGAAAATCAGTCAACTAACAAAACATAAAGACTGAAGTTTTAGTGAACTATATTTATAAAAACAAATGATAGTGTGCAAAGTGAAAAATCTTTTTCTTTAATTTCAAAATGTATAACACTCATGACTGACATTAGTTATGCATAAGATTGTGCCATTCATTTACTCAAAAGAGTATTTAGTAAGTCCACAAATCCTCCATTCATTGAATTAAGCAATACCAATTTATTCCAATTTTATCCACCAAATTTATTCCATTGAAGATCAATGGAATAAATTATTCTTATTCTTATTACCAGCATGATACAATTAATTTTTGTCGTGCCTTTACAATTAAAAAAATAAATTGATATCCCAGTGAGGCAACAAAGTTAAGACCCACAGACACTTCCTGAAACTTAATCTGGCTACAGTACATCACTAAATAATGATTCCTACCTAAAAAAAGTATGCAACTATCATGAAACAAAACATTAAAAAACAAGCACTCAACAGCTCACATAATAGTTGTTAGAAATCAGGAAGGCACAAAAACCATAAGCATGCACCAACCAAGGCCCTTTTCCAGAAAGTGTGATTGTGTTACAGCTAATAGTAGAAACATGAGCAAAATACAACTAAATACTGAATTAATTTGAACTAAATACAGTTACACTATTAATGAAAGACTATCAATTTGTAATACAGTACTGAAAACAACCTCAAATGGTATTTGTATTGAGAAATTATATCATTTAGCAGTTAATATCATGTGTCAAAATATAGACAATGTTGATAAGAGGTTTTGGTAACTCCAATGAGCTCATTTTGAATTCTGTGATAGTATAGTTGACATGATAGTATAACTGACTTTTCCTAATCCAAAAATATTGGCTGATGTAATGAAATTTTTCCAATTAAAAAAGTGATTTAGATAAATTGTAGTAGTATAATATTCAGTACATTGAACCAATTGACTTTTGAGACTAAAAAAGGACGATGGTCCAACATAGATAAAAAATATAAATTAGATTTTTAACGAATAGGTTTCAGAGAGGTCGTGTAATAATAAAGGTGTGTTGTCCAAACCACGTCTCAAGAAATCATCCCAGAGCGGGAATCACCGGGCAATGATCATTAGGCATTGATCACTTTACACAACCCAAGAACGTCTCTATTAAGTTCAACAGTTGGTTGCTGACTGTGCTACTGCAGTGTATTTGTGCTCACATTGTAAGAAAAAACTGTTGAAGTTTCTGTTGAATGAAGAAATAGAAGACGAGAAAATTCTGGAATTTACAAGTAAACCACGATTGTGTAATCCAAGTTTTTTACAAAGAGAACCAAAGATGGATATTCCCTTGGTTTTATTAGAGAACCAATGCAGACGGGAGGCTGTATTTTGTTAACTTTTTAGACTTTCGAAGAATCAGTTCAAAATTGTTTGTGCTTGATAGAGAAAAATCTACAACAAACTTCATGCGATCGCACTCCATACTTAATAACAAAACGCCATTCTTACAAGTTGTCACACATAAGCTTGGGAGCACAGAAGAACACCGACACAACACTGCAATATGTAAATAGATGCTGGTTATCAGCGATCCTAACTGCTCCTGGAGCAGTTGGACAACAGGCCCATTGATATCGATGCTGAGCGTCTATTTCTCAGAGACGGACACAACAGACGTGGCACATAAATATTATTCTGAATTTAACATGGCATAAAATGGCTTGGACAACGGGCCTTTAAGAGTTGTAGGGCTGGAGATTTAAGATTACATCTAGTAGAATTTTGGATTATTTCTCTTCAATTTATATATCCCTAAACAAGGATGAAACTAAATATTGTGTAGTTTATTTTGTCTATCTATAAGCCCTTGAATTATACCTTTCCTAGTTAATTTTCACCTAACTCTATTTCTTTGCACAAAAACCATCAGCCACTTAGATATTTCATATATTTTAAGAATTGTAATGTAAATTTTAAGTCATACTTACCAAAGGCCTTTAAAACTTATATATAGTTCCTGATTAAATACAAACCATTGATTTATTTTTCTGGTGATATCTTGATTATTCTTCGTACTCTAGGGGACCGTCTTACAATAATCGGCACTAGAATAATGTAATGAAAGTCAAAACAATGTTTTTGCAAGTTATACAAATGGTATAAACAGCAGTGTTTTAAGTAACATAACACAAATTTAACAAAAAAAACTTTTTAAATAAAAACAAATCGTAACTAATAAATTTGGAACAATTCAGTTTTGTAAATTTATAAAATTTATTATGGTAGATAAGACACTGCTGCAATTGTGTTTAATAAACTTAAAATAATTTTGAAATCAAATTCGTACATTGCTTAGTAGAATATTTCATGACTAGGGTGTAAAGTAACTTTTCAAGCCTTGATCGGAAAATGAGCAAGGATTGAAAAGACACCTTTTGCCTGTGTGATGAACTATATTTTTCGTCATATTGCACCATTATTTGAGCAAACTCAAAAATAAAATAGTTTTAATTTAAAGAAAACTACTTTGAACTAATTTTCAATATAATTTGCTGATGGAAACAAGCAGCTGTTTATTAAGTGATTCAAAGGTTTCATCTATTATGATTGTTTTAGTTTATACTATTGTTGTCAAACTATTTACCGTAAGGTAACAGATACAAATGATATATACATGTGATTGTTTGGAATCTAAATTTACAACTGAGTTGACAACAGCTGATTATTACTCCCTATGGACTAAAAACATTTTTTACTCCCTCAGAGAGTAAAAATGATACTTAAGACCCGCAACGCATGCATTAAAAGCGGCTGGTTTTTCTGCAGTATGACAAAAAACAGGTTTTCACTTTTTACACAACCCACAAGTGGAGTTATTTTCTATTGCAATTTGGAATACACTAAACCAAATGTGATTGGCCGTTTCTAAACATTTTCTTGTTGATGCTTGTGAGTGTAGACCTAACAATTTAGGTCAGTGTAGCGTTGAAAGTTATATTGTAAGAAAAATGTCCCTCATCAACAAAATGCATATTAGTTAGATCTCATTCAGGAAGAAATTAATAGGTTAATATTAGTAACTGGCATATTTAGTTTTAGGCAAATTTCAAGCACCATTCATCTAAACTAATATTGTAACATTTAATGTAGTTTCCGTAAAAAGATAAATTTAAAAAAAGAAATGGGGAACTGATTATGGTGAATACAAAAACATTCTGTCACCTCAAAGCAAAACAATCTTTGCCGTTAATTCACCACGACTAGTTTTTTTCTTTCTGTGATTCACCATCCTTTCAAATACCAGGGTTAGCAGAAATCATTTTTTGTATTCTAAAAAACTATTGTTATTCACTATTACCTAATTGATTTTCAGGAATTTCTTAACACAAAGCAGTTACTGGAAGGCATGCTTCCGAGCAATTCTAAGAACAGTTTTAATATTCACAAACAAAAGTGATATTTAAAAATACCTACTGTTAACAATCTTTCATATAAATAAGGCTTTATGCGTTGAAGTATTTATGTACTGTGCAAATTAAATTAATATTAGTAAAATGTTATTAAATACAAGATCCAAAAATCTTAGCGACTTCTGGAATGGCAACCAAACCCAACATTTAAAAGCCTATCCCAGATCTAATCTGATCTCAAAGTAGACCTAAAAATAGAGAAAATAAAAAAAATGATGTGGTGAAATAATGGAAAAGTCATTAATGAAGTTGTGAAATTGTACAATCAAAGAGCAAAGCTAACAACAACCATCCAGCTAAAGTCCTACTAACTATGGTGTGGTAAAGCTAAAGTGCTATTAGATTGCTACATTACTGTATAGACTTACCTCTGTCAGAGGTGGGTGGGTCGTCATTGTTCCACACTATAGGTGTGCGGCCGCGCACAGTGCCTGGTCGCATGGAGCGTCGCGCTGTAGGACCTCGCGCCACAACTGTTGCACTAGCCTCACTAGCCTCCGCCTCCCGTCCCTCCTCCGCCTCCTCCACCATTGCAGCGGCAGACGATTTCTCACCCTCGGAACTCACCCCTACAACACAGCCTGATTAGACTTCAACATTACACAAACTTTTACGCTGGTTCTTAGACCACAAGGAGTTCTAGAAACCTAGTCAAGTGTATATCTCATATTTGTTGCTTCATCTGGTTAATTAATATAAGTTTTAAGGATACATTGACACTGAACACATATGTTTAGGAAACGTGCGACTTAAAGAAATCCTTTCAGCTAAGATACCTAGCCATGATTAGGACACAAAGTAATTACATCAGACATAAAAATACAGCTTAAAATATTGTTTTTACCACATTTAATACCAGGTGCTAGGAGAGTATAGGCCTACACACATTTAAGAGTGAGATCTGGTAAGGAACCTGAAACCAAACTCAATTCAGGGTGTCAGGAGACTACATACACAAAGGGGTGTGACAGCCGTTAGTGGATCTGGTTAACGTGTTCTCTGGCTATAAAATTAAAATGATGGCCGTTAAGTTCTGCCTAAGGCTATGGCCACACGGGCGTTTTTTCACGCAAGAACGCAGCGTGAAAAAAAGTGAGAAATATGAGCAGCATTAAATGTAATGAGGTATGCCACACGCAGATGTGGCGCGTCTGCAAAATCACCCGCCGCGGGCCCGCAAAAGAATGGACTGGGGTGCATTTTTGAAGCTTGTTTTCACGCTCTGTCCCTGGCCACACGGGCGGGAGCAACACGCAGCTTTAATCAAGTCGTTCTAGCAAGTTGAAATAAAGATAAATGGTTCTAATTTTTTCCAGGATAACGTAAACTATTTTTGGGTCTAGCCAATTACACTGTATGCCTACATGTTTTATCTCAAACATAGGTCGACCTTACTGTACTACTTAATAACTTGTTATTAAAAGGAAAGGGATTTAGTTGGACTAAAAAATGTAAAGAGGCATTTATGTAGTAAAATATTCAAAGATCTGATGAAAGTCATAAGCATATTTATATTATATTATTTGTACTAAATGTAAATAATTAAATGAAAGGTCAACAAAATAAAATAATTTTAGTGTTGTTTTCGTACCAAAATTAGTATACCATTCATATTTCTTGTTCACTAGTCAGAAACAAGGTTACTATTTCACCCATTAGGAACATATACAACATAATTATGTGAATTCGTCAATCAACTGCGGGTTCCGAGTGCATTTTCCTGCTCCTGGACTTCAACGGCATGAGAATAAGCTACATTTTACCGTGTGAAAAAAAAAAACGCACGTGTGGCATACAACAGCGGGAAATCAAGCAGCGTGAAAATATGCTACATTTCACCGCGTGAAAAAACACTCGTGTGGCCGTAGCCTAACAAGGAACTAAGAAAGTGAACTCTCTAAAACGTCTAAAATGTTTCAGAGAACTTTAAACTAGACATCCATAAATTTTCTTCTAGTGAAAAATTGCTACTAAAAGTTCTAAACAATTGATTACAAAATTGCCTTCAGAAAAACTAGAGACTTGACCTACCATCCCCACCCTCTTCAGGGTCCATCTCTGGCTCATCCAGTCCTTCCACACCTTCATTGTCCTGTTCATCTGCATTCCGCCCTTCTGCCGACACATCTTCCATTTCTGCTGCTAACAGAGAAAAAGTACTGTTAGGACAAACACTTGTTACCTTTGATATTTGATCATACTTATGTCAACTTTGAAAAGATATTTGACCAAATAAAACTTTGTAAGTAATTTCAGACCAAAATTAATAAGGACACAAGTGTTGTAAAAATTCTGTCCCAAAAAAATCCCAAATTCCTGCCCAAAATGTATTAACCTATCCATCCCATACATACCTGGGCCTGGTGTCGGATGAGAGTGCTGGGGTGCTGTAGTCACTGTGATGGTAGGAATGTGTAGATTGTTGTTGGCCTCTGTGTGGTCCTCCGTGGAACTGCTCTGTCCCACCTCTCCTCCTACAGGCTCTGTGACAGCACACTCATATAGTAAGGATTTAACATAGAGCACAAGGACCTAGGTCTGTAGGGTATTTTATGAGGATAGCAAGCTTACCTGAATGGGAAAGAGTCCAAACTGGCACAAGAGAAACAAAACTTTGCACTATATAAAAAAAACCCGAATAAATATTTCACTGTCACTGACTGAGTTGAAAAGGCTGTCAGTGACAGTGAAATATTCCAATGTTTTGTGTCTCTTGTGCCAGTTTGGACTCTTTCACATAGGTACAGGTAAGCCTGCTATCTTTACCGAAAATCCTAAAAAAACTCAGATAGTTGGCTATGGTAGTATAAAATTGTGTATGTTTTATAACTTAATTGTCACAGGAAATGTACATATAAAATTAAACGCCGTTTTTCCTTTGAAAGTGAAGCCACTTCACTACTTGGTGCATATCAACAAGTAGAGATCCCATGTTATGTCATGGAATCAGTCCAAACAATGTGTAAACAACCATTTTTGAGTGAGTTTCCATTTACTTTACTTACTTTGCACTATGAATGTTTTTTTTTCACTAGTAATATGTATATTTAATTAGCTGTAAATAAAAGTTACGTCTATTTGCCCACTTAGGCAGAAGAACTACCAATATAAAATCAGAATGGCAGGACTTAACAGTTGTTTGGTTATATTTTTAAAGAGTGACTCAATTCTGGCTCGAGAGGACAATTAATTGCTGGAAAAAAGTTGGAACACCACAAAATATACGACAGAGTGAGAAACAAGGACTTGCTGTGTTTACTGTCGCAAAAGAAGGAAATATTTAGAGATGAACGGGTCTCAAAATTTCGGGAAATTTTAAATCTCGTTCTACGAGACGAGATTCTTTTTTGGTCAAGATTTGTTTGAGACAAGATTTAAAAAAAAATAAAAAAAAACTTTGTGAATACGTTTTTATTTTTTTATTTAATTATTTATTCTTTACATGGAAATATTGCTTAATTTTTTTTTTTTTACAGCAAATGATGAGAAGTTGTAAGCAGTGTGAGACATGTTTTACTACTGTAAACATAGCCAAATTAAGTCACTCTTTTAATAAAAGATTTTAAATATTTTTGTCTACGATTGTTAGTGGATTAAAGAAAATGTCAGTACCGGATTCGGATCTTAAAAAATACACAATGTCATAAGGGTGGGTTAAAAAAACTTAATATTTACAGAATGCCAATTTTAATCATACTGTTTAAAATTAAATTAGTAATGTTTAAAGGTTAATATATCTTATATATAGAATAATCTCCAGTTGAGCCCAAAATCCCTAATTTTTGGGGGACACTAAAAATTTTCAAAATCATAAAATTAAAACATTGTGCTAAGTTTGCACGACCACCAAAAATTTTCAAAATCATAAAATTAAAACATTGTGCTAAGTTTGCACGACCACCAAAAGGGTATCTGTGTATATTTGACCATCCTTCGATCTTGAGTATGCTATATCGTGGTTTTTGCATGCAGCATCCAATTTTTTTATGCCTGGATCAGCTCTGGCTAATCTCTTCCTTAAATTCGTTTCAGGTCCACAGTACTGATAGCCGGGTATGTGAAGTTCTACAGGTAAAATACCCTGCGTCTGTGTACAAGAAGACTATATGTGTCCTAACTTATAAAATATTAGATGGGGTGTATTGACTTTTTAATCACCCTGTATGGACACTTCTGTATGGATCTTTTTGTACACAGACGCAGGGTATTTTACCTGTAGAACTTCACATACCCGGCTATCAGTACTGTGGACCTGAAACAAATTTAAGGAAGAGATTAGCAAGAGCTGATCCAGGCATAAAAAAATTGGATGCTGCATGCAAAAACCACGATATAGCATACTCAAGATTGAAGGATAGTAAAATTAGATCAGTGGCTGACAGCTTATTAGCTTGGGAAAGTGTAAAAGCTTCAGACTCTAGTATTGGTGAGAGAGCTGCCCCCTGGGCTGTTACTAACATAATGAAAACTAAAGCAAAATTTGGTTGGGAAAAAGAACAAAAATCCTAAATGTGCCTGCAAGAGGAAAAATAAAGGTGGTAAGCGGCTCTATTTGAGACCTTATACCAGATCTGGTAGTAAAAGTAAAAAAATGTACTCATAGGAAATAATTGAAAGACTCAGAAAAACCATTAAGTAGTTTGGATATAATCAAACTTGCTGCTGATTTAAAGTTGCCTTATTTTAGAGGAGTCTTCTTGTACATGGATACAGACGGCTTTTTGTTTGTAAAAGATTTTAAAAATCGGATCCAGCCCAAGATCCGGATTTTTTTGGATCCGATCGGGTGCCGGTTCTAGCTCGGATCCGGCAGATCCGGTAGTCCGATATCCGGATTGGACCATCACTAATGGTTATTGTATTTTTGTATTTTACCAGTCTGTCATAAATCAGTAGGTATTTAAAAATGTTAAAAAAATCAGGTTAAAATGTGGAATGTGCATTTCCCATTATGTATGAGAAGGGAAATCCCGTCTCAACATCTTATGAGAAATAAAAAAATCCCGTCTCGTCTCAAACTAAAAATCCATTCTCGTCCATCCCTAGAAATATGATAGTAATATGGTGTTACCTTGTGGGGAGACTTGAAGTGGGGTGGACGGCACACTGCGACCTGTGCTGGTATCTTCTAACTGGCTCAGGTCCATCCTAGTGTCATCCATACCTTCTGACGCGACCTGGGCCACTCCTGAAAATACAACTATCTCTCTAAAAGCCGAACTACTTTCATATCATTTCTGGCTAAAAAGACATGTAGGCTGAATAAAACAACTAACCACTGATGGACCAAACAATGTAAATCAACAAAAATGTGTTAATTTTACTGCATTTTCTTAAGAAAGATAATAAAAGACACATTCTTTTCTCCACATCTGAGTTACTAAGATTCCATTGTCCATCACACATGACAACAGTTGTCTTCACTCACCTGCTCTAGTTGTCGGTGGGTTGTTGTCAGAGAAGGTGAATCGTCCAGACGATGGGACGTGCGGAGAGCTGACTGCTTCACCAAAGCCATCCGTGCGCCGAGGCACAAAGAGTGTTGGGGTGCTGGGCACAATGCTGTCGTCTCCTACCTCCTCATAGCTGCCGGGCTGCAAGGTACATCACCAAGATAAAGTTTTAAAACTATATAAAAAATCATTTTACCAGCAAAACTAGAATCATTTGTTCACATAACCAAACTCAACAGAGAATTTTTTGAGAAGAGAAGAATTTAGAAGACCACCAAAGAAAAGACAGACGTTATAAAAGGTATACATTAGATTAGATCCCTTTTACATTTTTTACCAAAGAAGATTTTTTTTTATGAGTCAAAGACGTACCACAGAGCCATCATAAGTTCGATCATAAGTTTCGGTCATAAGTTTCGATATTCTTTCATGAAAAAGTTAAAGATCAAGAGACATTTGTGTAGCATAAAGTTACCATGAAAATTTTAAAACGCCGTGTTTTTGATGATGCTTTGCAAAATAAAAAAAGGACCTAGGATGTAAGTGAGAGAGCTGACCAGTAACAGTTGCTGTTGTCTGTTGAGTGGAGGTATGTGAGTTGCTGACACTCTTCTGACATAGTGACTGCCCGGGGTTGACGACGCCTGGTTGCTAGACACACTGGCCTCTCCTCTCCCCTGTCCCTGGCTGCTAGTGGCCTCCCCTCCCACCTCCACACCTACACTGCTCTCTGACTGGTTGGGTACTTCATTGCTGTCATCTAAACACACCGGTTGAGTTATAAAAACCACACCTATTTGGACAACCCAGAATTTTACCCCCTTAAAACTTACCCCTCAGCCAACAAATCAATTTTTGGGTCCGGGAATTTGGACCCCCCATTGGCAGAAAAAGCTAGCAAGTTCACTTGTCAGCATAAGATAGCACTTAATAGCATAATGGCAACATAAAGATATTTGTGTGTTTTTTTTTCAACCACTCTTTGTATTAGTCTTAGTTAGCTATATAATTTTAAATTTTTTTCTTGAATATACATTGTGATTGTAATTTTTTATTTCATTAAAATGTGACTTACTAAAACTTATTATTGCTGATAAGTTTTTAAAATCCTTTTTTAAATACATGCTCTTGGTAAAATGAATTCGACTAAGCCTATACACAATTTCATTCAGCCAAATCATTTTTGGAGAATCTTTGCATTATCACTTACCAATGATTTCTACTTCATTATTTCCTTGGTCGGTTATATTTTCATCAATATCAGGACCTTCGCCTACATCATAATTTGCCATTTCCTGAAAGAAAAAACAGAAAAATGAGTTCTAAAGTTCAAATGATATGAAATGATCATCCTTTAAAAATGTTAAGATGATAGTTTAAGTAAAAGCATCAAAGAGATTTAAGTTTCAGCTTTTATTTTTTAAGAAAATAACAAGGGTTAAAACGTTTGGTTTCAACAACTGACCTGATCATCCCTACTGTACACCTCAATCTCGTAGACTTCCTCATTCTCACCTTCCTCCTCAAACTCTTGATTATCATCCAAACCCTGTATCAAATAAACAATTGATTAAGCTTTTTTTCAAACCACTAAAAAAACATCAAGAATTTTGAAAAAAAGTATTAGTGACACTAAGCAATATAGGCCTAATTCATGTTCATTTTTAGGTTTAGGGATGGTCAAGTCTCGAAATTTCGGGAAATTTTAAATCTCGTTACACGAGACGAGATTTCTTTTTGACCAAGCTTTTTACCGAGACGGGAATAAAAAAAAAATAATAAAAAAAAAAAATTAAAACGCCTGCAGAAAGTCAATGCAATACCCGCAATACAGGAGCGTGTTGTAGTTGCGTTTCCTTTGTGAAGGCGTTCTTATTTAATTAATTCTTTAAATGTAAATATTACTTTAATTATTTTAATAATATTACTTTAATAACATTTGAGAAGTTTTGTAAAGTGTAAGCAGTGTGAGAAATGTTTTATTACTATAAAAAGTCAAAACAAGTAACTATTTTATAAAAATTAATATTGCTTTTATTTTATGATTTATTTTATTTTAGGATAAGTTGAACTCTATCCTAACTGATATCACTATGTTTCCTAATCGTAGGTATTTTTACTAAGTTAGGCGTGATTAATAAAAAAATGTTATGCTGATGTTTTTTAATAAAAGATTGTAAATATTCTTGCCTATTATCATTATTTTTGTATTTAAACAGTCATCTAACAATGTTACAAAATCAGGTAAAAATTTTGAACGTGCATTTCCCGTTGTGTATGAGAAGGGAAATCCCGTCTCGATCTCGTCTCGAAATTTTATGAGAAATAAAAAATCTCGTCTCGAACTAAAAATCCAATCTCGTCCATCCCTATTTAGGTTCAAGCAGCCAGTGTCAGCACGACTCGATTATCAACCATAACAATTCAAGATTGAGCTCAGCTGTACCACTGAGGATGCCACATCTAAGTATGGCCAAAAAGTCTAAATAGTATTGATGATTTGACAAAGCTTAAACTGAGCTCAACCGAGCTAATACTGATAATAGTAATGTAATGTTATCAATGATTTATTCAACTGTAAAGAACATCATTAGACTAGGAACGACGATAGGAATGGAAGAGAATATCAGCGTAATGTATGGTGGTAAATCAAGGTGCAATACCGGGTCACTCACGCCATCGTCTGGCAATCCTTCATCGTCCTCCTCCTCATCGGAGTCTACGAGTATGACGTCGTCCTCCTGGTCACGTTGTGATGACGTAGGCACCTGGTACTCCACCTCCAGACCATCTGATCTCAGCAGCATCTCCCCCTCCCCGCTGGCCACCACTCTGTTGCGTTTGGCCTACAACACCGCATTGAATCATAGTGTATTTATTTAAACATATTATTTTACCAGATGCTCTTAAGATTAATGAATAACAAATTTTAGGAGTCCATGCCGAGTATCGGGTTAATTTTTGTAAGTGCTGGAAAACACTTTAGTAATGTAATGGACAATGTGTTTGACCGTGATGGAGAAATCAGGATTGAGTGTAATGAGTGTATTTCTGTTTATGTTATTGTTTATAAACCTGTTATTGAAGCCTAATACGCTGTTTATAATCTCAAATCAACAATAGTTACTATGACCCATACATACAGATAAAGTTAATAATTTCTGGTTTTTGACCTAAATGTTTCAGTTTATTAGAACAAACTCACAAGACACAAGTTGTAACTTAAAACCAGTTTGTTAACTAAATGATTGCATTACAAATTGAACTTTTCTCTTAGAAATCAATGAAAATGATGCTTATCAAGAGAATATCTCGCTTATAAAAAAAAAAAAATAAGATTCTAAACTAAAGTGTTTACATTATCTAACAGGTTATTGCAGACTTTTTCCATCACTATTAGCAAGATACAAGGTTTTCATGACGTTTTTAGGATTTGGAATCTGATCCCGTCCTTAAGTAAGAGAGTATCAGAACATTACAAATTTACAATGGTACACAAACAGACAAAAAAACAAAATGTGATTACATTTTTTTAACCCATAGCCTACTTCATTTAAAAACTCCAAATAAAAATCTATTTTAAATTTAGCTCAAGAACAAGAAAACATTTTTTGTCCTAAGACACTAGACACGAGCACGGAATTTTTTTCCACATTATTTCAGGCTAGACCTAGGGGTTTCGGCATTATCACTTAGATAAAATACATTGGTGACTTGGCGGGATTTGAACCCGAGACCTCAGGGAACGAAGTCCCGAGCTCTAACCACTACACCCACTTACCGGTGGCATGTTCTTGTTGCTGTCGTCCTCTTGCACGCTGGATGAGTCCCTGAGCCTCTTGGAGCCTGGTCCAGCCTGGGATGTGGTCACTGTGTTGCTACTGTTGGCGTAACTGCTGGCTACAGCCTGCAACACATCAGGAACCTCAGTATTGGCGGCCCATACATACATTACTACAGACTGTTAAGTATCCAACACAATGTAATGAATCCAAATCTTTAAACCCTTAACTTAAAAGAAAACCATGAGATTCCATTAGTTTTCAGCATTTTGACAGTGTAACCAAAACCCGGGGAATTTGTTTTAAGGGTAATTGAGTGTAGAAATGTTCATGACCAAAATTTTTTTAATTAATTCTGGTTTCCTTTTTGGACAGGAGACAGGGATCTTGCAATATCAGTCTGATCAATTGTTGTTCGATCAGAAATGATTGTTATGTTGCCGTGATCAATCAGACATAAACAAACAGTTTTTGAAATACAATTTTTAAACTTATTCCAAATAAACTAAATAATTTTGTTGAGACTAACAATTTTTCACAGTAGGTTCTAGATGGCATTTCAAGTTGAACTTGGACTCCAGATTTAGAACTCAATCTTTTAAGGCTCAATTCCTGGATTTTACCATCCCTGGTTTTTTACATTCAGACCAGGTCTTCAGAGGGATATCTACAATCTGAGCCAATAACTTGAAAAAGGAAAAACTAAAACACAGTAAACTTTGAATTCAGGGTGTCTACTACATTCTGAATAAAAAATTCATGGACAGTTCGCATACATTTAAGGACACTTTGCCGTAACCTTTGTCGGTGTCATTAGGCCTACCGAATAATTTTCCTGATTTGTCAAACTGTATTAATCTTGTTATTCACTGTAGTTGTACCAGAGAGAAAAGTAAATAATAAATAAATAAATAATAAATAAATAAAAATGCCTTTATTTAGCAAGCGTTCCTCAGTACATACTGCTTTACAGGAAAACTCTTATCAATTTAATTACTAATACTAAATAAAACTTATAACAAAAAGTACATAATAAGATTAATTAATAATAGATAAGAGTTAAAAATTACAACATAGAAATTTATTGAAAGTAAACAAACATAGGCCTACCTATACTTTAGGTAAAGCTTTTATAGTGTAACAGAGAAACGCAATCATTGTCTCCTGCGATAGCGACAAATATCTCCATCAGTCACGTAAACTTCATAACATAGCTTATCCGATCCAGGCCGATTAATTTGGCATGATTCGCCCTGGCACAACGTTAGGTTCTCGACTATTGTTGAAAAAAAAATCTTTAATGCATATTGTTACTCAATTCTTAGTACAAAATCAAGGTATGGTAAGCGGCTATTAATAAGCAATAAGCACAGAGTAAGATTATTGTATTTTCATTTGCAAAGTTAATATCGACACATAGCAATCATTAGTTGTTTATCTTAGGCTCAATTACATTTTCTTAATATATTTTACAGCTCTTTCAAGAATCAAAATACCCAGGCCTAGACCTAATTATTTAGGAGGGCCTATATAAACTGAGTAACAAACAATGAGGTTCTAATAGCAGCAAAGTCACTATCATCATTGTAGTTCATAAGATTTTGATTGCTTAAAGCATACAACTCAATAAATAAATATATGGGAAACAAAAAACATTGAAACCTGAATAGCCAACAACATAAGACAAAGATACAGAAAATGCAGTGACATAATTTGAAACCAAGCAGGCCTACATAGTGATAAAACATTAATGCAAACAACAATGCTTGTGGTTTTGTCAATTGAAAGATAAAATGGCCATAAAAAAGGGGTTAACTTACAAAATAAGACTATAGATTATTTACATGTTTAATATGAAACCATAAACAGTTTTATAGCACTAGGCACTGGCCGCGGCACGAAAGTACAAGTAAGAAGTGAAATTTAACAGCCATTATAAAGCTATTATTTTCAAGATAAAATAGGTTTGAGATCTAATAATAATTACCCTAGTAATGAAAAAAGAAGTTGTAAAGGAATAAAAGTGATACAGCTTTTATCAGCTAGCTGCTGAGTCAACAGTTCTTGGAAGTACTTGACTTGACACTTGATTGTCGTGATAAAATATTAATGGGTTTGAGATTGTTAATGGGATTTTTATTGCATAATTACTCTAGTAATTCATTATGAAAATGTAAACAAACATCTGATAAACCTTTTATGTGCTCCTAACCAACTAGCGATCAATAAAATTATGGCCCATTAAAAATTTAAGGACATAGTCTGGCATTTAAGGACAATTCCCGTACATTTCATGGCCAGTAAAAATACACCCTGTTTGATTTAACCCTTCCAGGACTATAGACGTAAATATCCGCTAGCATTTTGTGCATAGCGGACGGTAGGCAGATATATCCGCTTATCTTTTTGGGCTCCACGGACAGTTGGCTGGATATAAGCTCTGATTATTACGACGGTTATTGTTATAGTTAATTGTCTATAACATCATTAATCTTTGTGAAAACTTCCTTTTATTCAATTATATCTTCAACCGATGTACTAGAAATGATTTATGGAAAAATAGGAAGTTTAATTTTTTTTTTGTTTATAAAAAAAATTTAAAGTAAAAAAATTATTTTGGACAAAAGTGCTGCATAGGTTTACTATTTACAACAATCTATAAATTATTGATTTAAAAATATTTGTTAGTTTTTATTTAAATAAAATAATTTTGCTGTCTGTATACTTACTATAGGCCGTCTGGGAAGGGTTAAAATGTCTAAAGAACAAAATTAGAGGTGAACTAGTTTAGTTGTACCTGTGGAGGGCACTGTTCCTGAGAGTTGCTGGCTTCCTCTAACTGAGCCTCACTGCTGGCCACCACAGACTGTTCAGTGGCCGACGACCCTGGCTGGCCAGACTCTTCAACCTCCTGTGACAGTATACACCTCTCAGTTGATATTACGCAGTGACAACCAAATGTGTTTTACAACTTTGATCAAATATGAAAACCACAGTCAAATAGCTAAATCCATTCGGCTGGATTCTGTGGCTGTAACCTAGAATTAAATTCAAATTCATAGTTGCTTTAGCCTTTCACAGAGTGTGCTACAGTCATCTTTTTGATCACTTAGTTAGTGTCAACCACGAATACTTGAACAGACACTGGATGGATCATAAACATAAAACAAATTATGTTAATAGTCCGAAAATAAACATTATTTAACATTGCTGAAACGGAACTGTCCAAACCATATGTTAATGCTAATAGTATAGGATTCAGGGCCAGCAACGTCCTTTGTTTATGTTTATGATCCATACTGGTTCTGTTCAAGTATTTGTGGTCTGAACTATGCTAGTTGATGTGTCATAAAAAAATTCTTATATTTACAATGAGTCGTTCTTTCAGTTTGTATTGATAAAAAATTTGACATGTTAAAAAAACAGCATTTCTTGGTGTCAAATATGTTAATTTTTAGCCTAAGACTGTCTATGGATTTACAATAAGAATTGGATGTCTACTTTTATCTTCTGTTAATACCCAAAGGTAAATAATTATCTTCACTATGGTTCAAACTTAAAAATTCAAGAGATTAGTTGACAGCATACGAGGTCAAGACATTAGGCTAACCAATGATTCATACACTTAAGCCTGCTAATCCGGCACCATCTACAATAACACAAAATCTATCTTAAGGTAAAATTGTTTTGTATGGTTATCAGATATTTTAGCATGAACATTTGGCAGAAGTTGGACACACTCTGCAGAAATCAGGTGTGAACAGCAGACAGTTGTACTAAAAATTTGTGGGTGTCTTATTTTTATTTATATATTTACTTGTATCTTTACTAATTAATAGAACTAAAACAAGATGAAGCAAAGTCAACTATTAATAGAAGCCCCCTGGCTAAAATTTTCCTTCTTCGTTAAGGATTACTTCTGGTCTCGCAACAATTGCTGTTCAGTAATCTGAACAGCACCGCCAGAACAGTAATTGCTGAACAGTAATCGGGACCGCCAGAGTCCCGATGAAGCCACATTAGCAAGCAACTGCTGTATTGTATCTCTCACCTGTTGGTTGCGGTAGTAGGCTTGCACAGTGCTACACATGGTCTGCTGGTTGCTGCTGGCAGACACCAATCCCTGGTCACTCGGGACATGGTTGGAGGCTGACACTATGTTCTGCTCTGCACTCTGCTCTTGTTGAGAGCCCACCGAGGAGTCTTGGCCACTCCCCTGCAAGCACTACAACACAACAGGCTTAGCTAGAGCGTAGAAGGAGCAAAGCTTAGTGTGTAACTGCTGCAGAAGCTTAGCTTGGAAAAAATGTCTACAGCTTGAAAAACTTACAAAAGTATCCTGACTTGCTCGTTTTATCCCATGTCATTGATCTGAACAAACAGAATGTTTCACTCAAAATGGACCTTTTACAAGGCTTGCATTGTGCTTTACACTCATCAGTGTTCTTGAAGAACAAAACTTCCCTGTTTGGCACATAATTAATTGTGTTGATGACAAGCAAAGTAGGCTGATCTGGTAATGGGCTATTTTAGAATGCAGAGTAAACATTTCAATCGGTTGGCCAAGATCAATATTACCTGTGTCTGAGTGGTCTGGGAGGAAGTCTGAGCGGTAGGCTGGGGCAACACTAGAGCTATAGCTTGGGGGTTGGCAGTGCCAGCTGGCTGAATACTGTCTTCAGCCTCAACATCCTACAAACATACAAACATCAGTTGCTGAACAAGTACTAGACATCCAGCTGTACAAGGCAATAAGTTTAAAAATAAACACTAGGAGGTAGAAACCACTTGGTAAAACCATCTTCAAAGTCTAGATTCCAGCACTAGTTTTCAAACCCATAAGGGTGATTATTACTGTTCAGAATAAAAATAACTGAAATTTGATACATTTTAATAAAAATTGTGAATCCATCAAACAATAAAATTGGCTTGTTAATGATGCAGGGTAAATGTCAACAGATAGTTTGTGCTGTAACGCAAGAGGCAGCAACAGCTGGTACCTATTAGTACCCGCCCCTTGAATTTCTATTTACCACTAATAGATTAAATTATTTGGTTTTAAATATACAGTTTAATCAATGAAAAACACAGCCAAACTCTATCCTCTTTCCTTTTCTCCACTGAAACACATCAAGATACCACATGAATATATTTGGGAAAGAACACTTTACTGGACGTAAGAGAGTAAAACGTCATAGAGTATGGATAGAAGTATGGATGGAAGTATGGGCCATGTTTAATCTACCTGGGTAGACTCAGCCGCACTGGACGGAGGAGGAGGAGCATGCTGCGTATGTGAGTGTGTAGGAGGTACTGTAGCCTGACGTATCACTACCACACCACTACTGGTGGCTGGCATGTAGTCCGTGTGAGAGGAGGTGGGGGAGGAACTGAGTCCCTCCACACTGCCTACCCCGGCCCCACCACTGCTACCTGTAGAGGTATGCACCATCTGCTGCTGTGGGGGTACCAACACTGCCTGACTGCTGCTGCTGTACAGAACAGGGCAGTGTATCTAATATGTTGCCAGGGTGAAAAACAACTAATGTGTCTAAGCCTATAAAACTATTTGAATATTCATGATTGTATCAGATGGATTTGATTCTCAAATCTCATATCTAGTTGAACCTGCTATATGGCGGCGCTAATACAACTTGTGTGTTTGTTTCCATTTTTGGACGGGTTTGAATAAATTGGGGATATTTTCCAGGCAAGAGTCCTGGGATATAATAACTATTAAATAATGATCTATATGTTACTGCAATCCTGCAAAACAGCTAGAGAATTAAAAATAATTAAATAATACCCCCGCCGAAGCAAATCTGCAGACTAAGCGAATTTCCATTTGCCTGATTGGATTTACACTAAAATGTCTCCTTAAAAATATCACATTTATTCCCTATTTAAATAAAATTAGTTTAACGAGTACTTAGGTTTGCTGCAACAGGGAGGGTAAAAAGGTGTTTTTTTTTGTAAAATGTTAATAGTTTAGTATGAAATTAATGCATTTCCCAAATTTGATCAAAATATGATCATAAACAAGCAAACTACAACAGTTTACTTATTCTCCATAAGAATAACATGGGAATTTTAAATTTACAGTTTTTTTGGAATTTTCTCCGTAACCATTAGGCGCATAATGACGCTTCAATATACTAAATTATTTGTTTTTTTAAGCTCTACAAAATGGTTTGGAAAGAAAATGGCAAATTTTAAGTTTTTAGGGTCCAAAATGGGAAAAACCAATTTTTGCCCCATAAAACCCCCCATAAACCCCTGTTCCCATAGTCCGATCATGCTGGTTCGCGAACTCGTTTGAATAAATGTATGTTTACACGTTTGTACCAAATTTCATCAAAATCGGATGATTTTTGCTCGAGTTATTGCGCTAACGGACACATATATATATATATATGATTTTGAACGGATGGTGTTTTTGGTCTCTATGGACCTCAAAACGAAAAAGTAAATCGGTCCCGGGTCCAGGTCTTACCATGAGTACTACGGTAATAGCTTATTCCCTATAGGGGAAATTCGCTAAAATCATTAATTTAAGTAAATGAAGTTAAGTTATAAAATAATAACAGTTTGGTGTGCAAGCTACTAGTAGCCCCTGGATTCCAGTGAAAAAAAGCATCAAGTAAAATGTTTTCAATGCCAACATTATTGTTCTGTTTATCATGATTCTCAAAGTACTTATGCCTTGGATTTTTGTTGAGTGTTTTGACATACTGTTTACCTCTGATTGGTGGTGGGCAGTACAGCCACGGTACGAGACTGCAAACTCATTGGCCTGATACTGGCGAATGGTGTCTCGCTGGTGCCTCCCCTCCATGGCGTCACTGTCACTGAGTGTTGGGTCTAGTGAAGGAAACATCAGAACAATACCTCTTTAATTGGTTTAGGGATACTTTTAGAAACTAACATTTGAAATTCATTCTTAATTCACACCGTGATGTGTCAATATCATTTATAAAGTAGTCTTTTGAGAAGTGTCTACCTACTAGTTCCCATAACGAACAATCTATGACTTTTACCCATCCTTTTGCTTTCAATAAATTTCCTTGTATGTGTAGTTTATCTGTTATCATAGGAAATGTCTCTTAGCTTCATATATCATAAACAGATCACTACATATATAATGAGAGTATAGAATACTTACTTTGTGCACTGAATAGTTTGTTTTTGTTATAACTGAATTACAAATAAACTCTATAACTTTTTGGTTTTTGCCTCTAATTTTGGAATGTGACACATATTTAACTGTTAAGTGACACTCACAGGTTGTTGTTTAGTCCCTGAGGAGGAGGGCCCGGCCATGGGTTTGATGTTGGCCGTGGGAGGTTCCACTGAACTCTTCTCGACACCAGAGCTGGTGGAAGGTTTAACGCCACCTTGCAGTTTGTCCACCTGACGCTGCAGTAAGGTCACCCTCTGCATCTGCAGATCCACCTCTCTCTTGAGCCGCTCATTTTCAGAGATGAGGTCCGCCTTCTCCTTGTCTGCCCGTCTCTGACGCACATCAGAGTCATCTGTATCAGAATACTACGTCAACGAATATCTCGTACAAGAAATATGAGTTACCATCCAGTGTTTAGTTATAGATGTGGTACATTGCATTAAACTATTTGAAACAAAATCTCTTCCCCTCTTGATCTGAACTTGACGAATTACAACAAAATACAAGCACAAAATTTGTCCCATTTTGCATTCAATGTCTCGATGTTAATGTAAAAACAATTGACTTTTTTTATTCTTTTCTTTAAGCCTGATCTATTAAGTTATTTAAGATAGTAATGTTTTAACAGAAACCCCAAAGAATTCAAGTGTTTTCAGATATCTTTGATCAGTATCCAAGTGTTAAGGTGTTACCCTTGTTTCTGTCCAGAGTGTCGACTTTTTGCTGCAACTCTGTATTCTCTACGGACAGTTTGCGTTTCTCTTCAGTGAGAAACATGATGCGAGACCTGGCGTTCTTCAGCAGAACCTTGGCTCTCTCCTCCTTATCAGCATTGGCCGTCCTCAGCTGCTCCACCTCCTGGCGCAGACTGGTAGCTTCCGTCTGGGCCGCGGTGACCTGTCACAGGACAACTGATTATACAAGGTATCCATTGTTTCTCAGAGTGATTGCTTCATAATAGACATAATTATCCTTGGAAACACTTCAACATGAATGCATTTGAAAAATAAAGGAATGGTATTAGCAAGGTGGGTTCAACTTAATGCATTTTATCTCTAAGCAAGTGATCATTGGTATGTCATATTTAATCCTTCCCGGACGGGTGACGGATATATCCGCCTAAGTCTTTGGCGATAAAGGACGGGTGACGGATATATCCGCTTATGGTTTTTGATGTTCCGGACGGGAAGCGGATATATCCGCCTTCTCTTCAGACAGACTGGCAGGTGCTTGAGCAGTAACCAGATGTTTCGCGGTACCAAGGCGCCACTTTCCTGCTCTCTTCATGGCTGCGCTCTCTCCTGCACTCCCTCCTCACACCACCCACCTCTCCTACGCTCCCCCCTCGACGTTTCGCGCTCAACACTACGTTGTCTTGGTCGTATCTTCAAAGACGGGTGGCAGATATATCCGCTGCATTTCTACCCATCCTATTTAAAAACGAGTAAACAAATTATTTGGAAAGTATGAAGTGTTCTATTGTGTTTATTTTATGTATACTTGTATAACAAAACACAAATACAGAAAATTAATTTTTATTTCTTCCTATAACTTTTTCCTGTCCTTTATCACGATTTCGCCTGTCCGGGAAAGGTTAAAACAGTTGATTGCACAATTTAACAGGGACCCCAAAATGTTGGTAGATATTTTAAAATTATAAATAAATAAAGACTTTTAATTATATGTAAATAAAGGGAAAGCATTAGAACTCATTATGTTGCATTTAAATTTGTAAATTCCCTCCTTTTTGCAGGGAAGCCCCTCAAACCTATCGTACCCTGATCAAACTCCTTCTTGATCCTTGTCACAACAAGCTAACAAATTATACCTGAAGCCGCCCCTGCAATTTAACTTGACATGTCAACATTACTCTTTCCTCCTTTTAGCTAGCTAAAAAAATTCCCTTTTATTGGTTTTCTGTATTAAAAACAGCTATTAATTGCTGGGGCATTAAGTTATTTGGGTAGCAAAATTAGCAATGAAGTTCAAAAGTGTTAACAAAGGTTATGTAGTGTTATAGAGGTAGTATATTTTTTCACCTATAAAGAAAAAATAACTGCTTTAGCCATTTCCTTTAAACCCTTTAAAAACTCCAAAATTAACTAATTTTTTACATTTACTGTGTCACGTACCTGATCTGTGAGCTGCTTCAAACGTTCAGCCTGTGTGCGTTCAGCTTCCTGTCTACCTTCTTCTCTTAGTTTATTCTGTTCTTCCACACTCATAACATGGACCTCTTTCTTTTTCTTTTCTTCCTCCTCGTTACGTTTAACTAAGTCTTGGTATTGAGTCTTGTACTTCTTCGCTATTTGGCGGATCTACAAGTAGAGCAATTTGTGTAGCACTAATTTAGTATAACAGATAAGATAATACATTCCCGTAACACTATTTTAGCATTACATAATAAAGGAGTTTCAAAAATAATATTAAGTACAGTAAAAATTTAATTTTTATCTTTTCAGATTTAAATTTAGATTTTTTTACCAATCTAAATTATATAAAAGTGGCTTTAAGAGCTGTTGTGTAGTAAGGAGGTTTAGGCCTACAATTTATAGATGGCAGTAATTACAGGTACAATTCATTGTGTTGTGTACCAAGCACTTATGAGCCTATCACAGAGAAAATGTGTAGTAATGTATAGTGACACTTAGAAGACAAGTGTGTTGAAGATATTTCTGTAAATAAAAATGTGAGTAATAATTTATATAATTCATTTTTAGCGAATTTCCCATATAGGGAATAAGCTATTACCGTAGTACACATGGTAAGACCCGGACCCGGGACCGATTTAATTTTTCATTTTGAGGTCCCTAGAGGCCAAAAACACCATCCGTTCAAATTCATATAAATATATGTGTCCGTTAGCGCGATAACTCGAGCAAAAATGATCCGATTTTGATGAAATTTTGTACAAACGTGTAAACCTACATTTCTTCGAGTTTGCGATCCAGCATAATCGGACCATTGGAACGGGGGTTTATGGGGGGTTTTATGGGGTAAAAATGGGGTTTTCCCATTTTGACCCTAAAAACAAAAAATTTTGCAATTTCTTTTTAAACCGTTTTGTAAAGCTTGCACTCATTAAATCTAATGTTATTTAAATAGGGAATAAATATGTCTTATTTATGGAAATATTTTAGTAACAATGTAATCAGACAAGTTGAAATTCGCTTAGTCTGCAGGTTTACTGCGGCAGGGGTATTATTTTTATTTAGTGACTTGGGTGGGCAAGTTTAACAAGAAACCAGCCCAATCTGCTTCCACAACAAACAGACTGACTGGCCACTAGCCGAGACCTTTATACACTGTAATAGAGCTAATATGAACACAACATGAAAGTGAACAAACTTATGTGTTAGAAAAAAAGTACCAGAACCTGTAAACCTATTGTGGAGTTGATCAAAACCCAAACATTTTACAAACGTTTTTATCTTCATTTAGGATATGGTTTTTTTTTGGGGGGGAGGGGGGTGGTTTTGGGTAAGATTTGCTTTTATGATACACAATCTTTAAGAAGTTGTAAAGAACATCACTAGGCCACCTAGCCTAAGGCTGCGTTTACACTGGAGCCACGCTTAGGCAAGTTAAATTTTGTGGTTATACTAGAGAGAGCAACCAAGAACAAGTGCTCGCTCCCTTTAGTCACAATAGGCCTACATCACAGATCACTCAAAATGGAGATATCAGATGATGAGGATATTATGCTTGAAGGTGTTTTAATTTATTTTATTTGACTCCGAACGAGTTAAGGGGGAATGGGAAACTATGGTAGTCAATCAAATGTTAGTATAATTATTTTATAAAAAACATAACAATACAAACTTAAACAGTATAATTTTAACAAGCCTAGGAGAACTTAAGTTTTTGATCATAGCTTTATTAGAGGTCTATTTTGATAGAAAAATAAAATTCTATATATTTTGATAACAAATACTTGAAGAGTACCGGTATGGATCATAAACATAAACAAATGACCTTGTTGGCCCGAACCTATACTAATAGCATTAACATATGGTTTAGACAGTTCTTTCAAAACTGAAGGATGAGAGGCCCAAGCTTGTCCCTGTGTGCGCTTGCTAGTGGTGAGCACTATAAACATGCCTGGACAAGTCACCACAGGTTTCCAGTAATCTGCTACAATTTTGCTTCAAAGGGCAAGCATGGCCAAGCGTGCGGCACCATTTTACATGCCCAAGCGTGCCTCCAATGTAAACACAGCCTAACTATATTGCTGCATCCCCACGACAATATCTACAATCTACAGCTAGCTGTAGCCATAGCCATGTTACCTGCATCTCCTTGTTCCTGACGTCAGTGATCACTGCCTCTTGTGAAGCCAAGTCCTGACTCACCTTGGCGAGCTCCTCAGCTTTCTTCTCTTGCTCGGCTCTGACTTCCGTGAGCTCTGCTCTAGCCTGAGTCACACCCTTTTGTGCCGCTGCCAGCTGCTCTGACAGAGCTTCTTTCTCCTTCCTCACCTGCAAAGTTTTTGTAATTTATTTTTTGATTTTTCACAGTAGTCTTTTATAGTGGAGCAGACTAAACTCTGGTTTTGTACTAAAATCGACCTTCTGTTAAGCATTGATTGAATGCCAAATTAGAATCTATCTGAATTGGGGTTGAACCGGCAACCTTCAGATTTAAGGTGATTCTTGTAACTACTAAGTTGCCCAGATTAAAAAACACAGTGACGATAAGTACCAGCAACCTTCAGATTTGAAGGTGATTCTTGTAACTAATAAGTTACCCAGATTAAAAAACACAGTGACGATAAGTACCAGCAACCTTCAGATTTGAAGGTGATTCTTGTAACTAATAAGTTACCCAGACTAAAATACACAATGACGATAAGTACCATCAACATTCAGATTTGAAGGTGATTCTTGTAACTAACTACTGAGTTACCCAGATTAAAATACACAATGGTGATAGCTACCAGCAACCTTTAGATTTGAAGGTGATTCTTGTAACTACTACGTTACCCATATTAAAATACACAATGACGATAAGTACCAGCAACCTTCAGATATGAAGGTGATTCTTGTAACTACTAAGTTTCACAGAGTAAAATACACAATGACGATAAATACCAGCAACCTTCAGATATGAAGGCGAGCCTTGAAACTACATAGTCACCGAAACAAAAATATACAAAATTGTAATAAAACACTTGGACACAAAACATTCATGAATCTTCAGCTGATATTACAAAATAGGCAACAGTCAAACACTACATTCTGCAGATTTACCCAAGATGGTTTCCTCTGGCAGAGCTTAGCTTCATTGAACCCAATAGCTCATTATTAGTACTCTGCTTAAACACCTTTGAAATTATTTTGCATTCCGTCAAAGAAAGTCCAGCTTCTTTAAATCTCTAAGAAATAATTTACCTGTTAGACATGCTGTATAGTAGAAATTAAATCATTTTGATTTGATTGTATTTGTCTTTTTTAGGCCTATAAGTTTTTGGTTTAACCTATGGATTGTTAAAATGAGCAAAGTTAAAGGTTTGTTTGACCAGAGGTTTTATTCAAAAATCCTGCATAGTTGCAGTGACAACAACATTGTACTTGAGAGTAGGTAATCTGGTCCAAGAAATGTAAAGGTAACAAATTTTATTCAGGAAACATAGTTTAATTTTATTTTTCGACAGTGTTTGAATGGGACATGAAGAAAATTTTTTATGTAATATTTTATGCATTAAGAGGAAAAATAAAGTTTAATTTCATTTACTTTTTTATTTTTAATGGAGATAAAAAATAATACCACGATGGAACAGTACGTCTTATATTGATAAGAAAAATCCTAGATTTACAATTATTTCTAAACAAACAACGGTTTTAACTTAATATAAATTAGTAAGAGAAGCAAAATGATTTACAGTCAAAGTGTATAAACTAAAGATAATCCATATTAATCAATTACCCATTACAAAAGTACCATTGTAAAAATACTAATCAATATAATCTTGTTATCACTTTTATTACAATTCTTTTGTTGCTTGTAATCCAATTGCACACACAATTTACATCAGAATATATACTACAAGAGTAGTCATATTATATTTAAACACCAAACTGAGTAGTGATGAACATTTTTTCAACATCTGAGAGTTAATAAAGCTCAAATGTTTAAAATTTTCGCGCTAATATTAGTCCTGGTGCAAACGATTGATGTTGAAGCATTGTCTGATTTCAGGATTGCTAAATCAGAGCTACAACGATTGGAAGATTTAAAGTACTACTTGTGTGGCCTGTCTCCGAAGAAACAAAGAGGACCAACAAGGAGGAAGAACAACTTGGGGGAATGGAGAGGGATAGGATGGTTCTGTGTGCCAGAGGCTAACTGTAGTGGAGTGGAGACTACATATGAAATTACTCAAGATGCCAAACCAGCACTGGCCTGCGATGCTGTCAGGTATAACAGTACTTTGGCATTGGTCTTGATGTAATTGTAGTTTACTATTACAAATTCACCTCCAGCTAGGTATAGTAGACCGATGATTGGATTTAACAATTAGGATTGGTCTATAAATTGTTGGTATTTAACTTTGATTAGAGATGAATTAACTTAAAAGTTTTTTATTAGTGAATTTAACAAGTTTTTTTTTACATGTTTAAGCTATAAATAAATATTGGATTGAGAGGACACAGCTAACTCACCTGGTAGGTTGCAGACGAGTCACAGATCAAATAAATTATAAACACACAAAGGAGTTGATATTTCACATTCAGAAGCTTCTTCAGAAGTAGATGGCAGTTACAAAGACAACAGTTTTAAGAATTTAATGTTTTCCTTATTTTTATTTTTTCCATTTTTTATATTTTTTACTGCATTTGTAACTGCCATCTACTTCTGAAGAAGCCTCTGAAAGAGGTGAAATATCAGGTCTTTGGTGTGTGAATGTATATGATTTATTTGTGCTGTGACTCGTCTGCAACCTTTCATCAGGTGAGTTAGTTGTATATTCTCCATCCTATATAATTCTTTAATTCAAGCTAAATGACCTTTCCTAAAAACATAAAGCTAAAAATAAAATTTATTCATTATTTTGCCTCCTGAACTGTTATTCAAAGTATTATCTAGGTTACGTACCTTATACAGTCAAAACAGTTCTGATACATTCACTAAAGGACGATGCGCATTTCAGAGTTTTTAAGCTCTATCTTCAGGTCCGTGGATACATTTGTCAATTCATCTTGCAGATTCGTCAAAAATATTTTTAGTATTATCTAGGTTACGTACCTTATACAGTCAGTATAAGGTACGTAACCTAGATAATACTAAAAATAAAAGTATTAAGTTTATATTGAGTTATATATTAACAATTACTTTCAAAAGCTTGACTCATTTTTGGTAAATTGTCCTAATTATTTATATGAGCAACAAACAAAATTTCTAAACAAAGATGAAAGACCACAACTGGAAATTGTTTTAGCAGTGTGTAAAATCATAGAGGTTATGTTTTGTTTACAATTTGTTTCTTGTTATTTCAGTCATTTAAAATCTCATTTAACCAAATAAAACGATTTAATCATAAACAATAACTGGTCTCCTAGTTATATAACCAAATAGTAAAGCACAAATCATGAAAATAACCCTAAAATAATAGAAACAAAATGTTGTCTACCCCAGCGATCAGTGTGGACGTACATGAACTAGACACAAAAAACAAGCTTTAAAATTTACAATGGGATGAGGAGTCTACTTGTGTTGCTTAGTCTATGGTAAAATTCTTAACAAGACTTCATAAATATAGTAATACTTACTTAGATCTTAGTAAAAATTAATATTGAGATGAGTTATCTTAAAACTTAGCTGTTCCATACTAGTTTAATAATATTTTTCTATTCATCAGTTATTAAAACAAATGAAATGTATAATGTAATATAAAAGAGGCTTTAATTTTAATAGGTACAATGAGGGACGAAGCAGCTGTTGCTTTACTGATAAATTGAAACCTCCAATCAAATTTACCGACCCTGATTGGGATGTGTACACGTTCACCGGTAAATCATCCAAGACCCGTGACTTTGCCAGGATGGATGAACATAGGAAAAAATTATTCAAAACATTCATCCCTGGAGGAGATCCAGATGTGGAAGCAGTATTGGAGAACTATGAAATATGTGCTGCGTTTCCCATCGGAATTGAGGAGGGAAGAACAGTATGGACCCCTTACGTGTGTATGTCTGAAACACAGTGCGCCGGTACAATAAACACTAATATTCAAGAGGATTTGAAATTTCCTCTTGGAGGCGATATGTGTCTAAGAAGTACATCATACGAAGAACGCCTGGCTTGCTGTCACATTTCAGCAGCAGTTCCAGTAAAGAAAGAGCCAAACTCGTGGAAGTTTGTTGAGTTTTTAACTACGCAAAAGTATGCCCCAGGATTTCGTTCAAAGTTCATGTGTGAACAGTACGCTAAGCTTGTTTGTGATGGGGACAAAGATCGTTGCGCTCAAAAGGTGCTGAACAGGGCTAACTACACCGTGCCTGGAGAGTTCCCCCACCACGCACTCGTGGGGATAAGACTGCCCAGAAGACAGACTTTTCACTGCCAAGGCTCCATAATCAGTAAGTTGTTTATCTTGACGAGTTACGACTGCAGACAAGATGACCACACTTTGGCCAACATTGTTCTCGTAGGCTTCAAATTCGATATGGGCGAAGAACCTCCGGAGTATGAACAAATATCTTACATAAAAAATCATATCAGTGCTCATAAAAAACATTGGTTCCTGTTACTGAAACTTTGGCGTCCATTGACTTTAAGCCCTTTTGTCAGACCAGCCTGCATCGACTGGTATTTTTTACACGATACACTTAGTAGTCAAACCTTTGATTTCAAGGAAGGATGGATTATAGATTATGGGCCGCTTGATCCGAGCGGTACTTTTACAACAAATGTGACACGTTTTATTTATGATTTTTACTCTGTAAATGAAGTGAGCCCCACAAATAAGAATATTGAGTGTAAAGCCAGACTGCCAGAACAAAAAAAGAAATACTTTAAAGGTAAATTCTCAGACTCACACGAATATCTTTGTCTATTAGGCAAACAAATTTACAATTCTGATGTGAAGAAAATGGTTCACGATCACTCTCAACTTAACGGTAGACATTTGGGTCGTTTCAGCAAAGGAGCGTCATTCAGTACTTTTGAGAGATACTGTCAATGGAAGGTGTATGGGATTTACAGCCAAAATGAGAAATACCCCATACCTCCCCTGGTAATAGAAACAGTTCCCCACGCCCTGCCCTGGATTGAGGAGATTGTGTGGAGACAGGACTTTGATTGGTTATTCTTTGACCTATCTTGGCCTGAGTGTGCTGACTGGGAAGATCCAGAGACTACACCAAGAAGGAAAGGTGGTGATGCTGATTTAGCGACCTACCAATTCAACTTTCATACCATGGACTACAGTTTCATTAAACCCCATCATAATCAATACTTTATAAGATAAATTGAAACTGTAAAAAACATTATATGAAATATAAACAATACAGTAGATTTAGTGAAGGTTTAATATGTCTGATTATTCTCATATCTCTTTCCAAACAACTAATTAAAATCAAATTAATAACAAATTAATTTATTACTAGTGTACGTGTTGCTTAAATTCGAGCAATTGCTAAGTACTATACACTATACACAGGTGTTATTATGAAACAAATAACAGTCATAATTTCTTTAAAAGATTTGACTCAAAGATTATGATCTTGTTTTTTAATGTTTTCTACAATAGCCTTACTCATAGCCGCATTAGGTTGTCCATAATAACGATTATAAATTCTAAAATAAACATTATTTCTATTTCTTCTCCTTGGTGGTGTTCTATGACTTTCCTATGTTTCCATAGTCTGCAAATCGCCTCTTTCAATGATTACTAAGAAATGCAGCACAGTGTTAATTCAGATTTCTTTTTAGTAGGCTATATCAAATTATCCAGGCTCTCTCAATTTTTTTTACTGTGATATTTATGCCAACCGAAATTCAAATAGTAAATATTTCATTTCAACCAGGTCAATAAATTAATATTTGTAGCAAACTGTTACATTAGCAAACTTATTGACTGTTTATAACTAAACATATGTTCTTCTTCTCACTTTTAATTTCTGACAACAGCTGGAGTGTTATAATAATTTTTGTTTCCCATGTTTATCTTATGGAGAAATACAAAACTTTAAAGGGCTCCAGGGCCTCACTCTCTAATTATTTCCCTAAAAAGAAAGTTTCCTGCACAGCTTCTCGTTACGCTCTTTCCAACGACACCAAAAACATGCCAATCAGTTCAGTAGTTTCGGAGGAGTAATTGTCACAAAAAACCTGCTTGCGTATTAAATCAGTACTAGTGTCCCTGTTGCTCGAATTCGAGCAATTGCAAAGTATTACAGGCGTTATTTTAAAACGAATATCAACCAAGTCAGCAAATATTTGTAGGAAACTGTTAAATTAACAATCTTATTGACTGTTTACAATTAACATATGCTATTCTTCTCACTTTTGATTTCTGACAACAGCTGGAGTTTCATAAAAATTTTTGTTTCCAATGTTAATCTTATGGAGAAATACGAAACTTTAAAGGGCTCCAGGGCCTCACTCTCTCATTATTTCCCTAAAAAGAAAGTTTCCTGCACAACTTTACGTTAGGCTCTTTCCAATGACACTAAAAACATGACAATCGGTTCAGTAGTTTCGGAGGAGTAATTGTCACAAAAAATCTGCTTGCGTATTAAATAAGTATAGATTAAGTATATGATAGATAGATTTATAAAATATAAAACTATGGTCATTCAGTTACAGAAGTGTTTCCCCTTATTTTATACCTCCTTTTTATAGTAAGTTACTGAGTAGTTAGGATACTAAAAAGTGGTGTCCATGACAAAGATAAAATAAAAGGTATCAGAAAGCTGACACTTAATTTCTCCCATTCGCTTGTCAACAACCTTTATCATGGATAAGTGAAGGGGAGTAACTATGATATTTTATAGAGAAAATTACCAAAGTTGCAATAGCTTTTGAACCTTAACTTTTACAGCAATGAGGGGTTGCACTATTTCATTTCAAATAAGGACCATAACAGAAAAGTTTGAACAAAAACCGATTTTTTCCTGAAAAAATAAGGATTTTTCATTATTTTATGGGAAAATAACATAAGTTACAATAAATTTTGAACCATTCTACAGCAATGGGAGTTAAACCATTTTGTTAATAATTCATTTATTTATAAAATGGATTTTTCCTTTATTTAATGCCTTTATATGGAAAACTCGACATTGATTAGTAATAATAAGACTCCAGATATATGATAATTTTGTATATACAGATTATCTATACTATTATAAAGAAGAGGTGGTGTCTGTGTGTTTGTATGAGGTAATCTCAAAAACTACTGAAGCGACTGGGCTCAAATTGCACACAAATGAAGCTACAGCTCCGAGGATACATATAGAACTATTCCCGCTTCAATTTTGTCCTAGGGCTCTGCCCCGTGGGCTTTCAAACATTTGAGGTGAGAGATTTAAAAGTAAATATTGATTGATGGTATCCATGGTAACAAAGAACAAACCTACAAAGTTTAAAAATGTAAACAAGCAGAACTAACTGTCAACAATGAATTTGGATTTCATCATTTCACACAGCTGGTTCAAACATATTAAATACTGCACGAATATTAGAACAGAGAGAGTAAGGATTATAAATTTAAAATAATGATGTCACTAGCCCGAATGTAAACATTATTTTTAACCGACTTCCCCACTACCAACAGAAGGAGGAGGTTCTCAATTTGTTTGTGGCGATGTTTTTTTTTTTCTATGTATGTTCACCAATTTATCTGTGATTCTTTTACCGATCAGTGTGGTTCCACCACCAAAATAACCAGGAGAGCTTCTATTTGGTACCTTATATATTATGTTTAAGTATAATATTTGTTTCGGTGAAAAATTCTGAAAACCTTAAATATTCAACATTCATTTTGTTTACATTTGTGCAGATTGTTTACATTTGTGCAGAGAAGGCAATAAATAATAATAACATTCCTACAGCTGTTAGTTAAAACCTTTTAAATGAAGTTACAGACAGTTTCTTCATGAAACAGTTGCTTCATATTGATTAATAAACTATATCTTGCCATGGAGCCTAAATAAGTTACATTGAAAAAATGCATCTTGTTTTGGTTACTATAAAAAAGGTATTTAAACGTTTGACCTGATTTGTGTATGATTCTGTTTTGAGTATTGAATGTTCTGACTTATAAAACATAGTGAATAACATAGTGTATGATATTGACAATTTAAGGTCTATTGTGAAAACCAAAGCATTCGTAAAAGAGGTCCAAATATAAATTAGATGCAATTATTCCTTAAACGACATAAGAGGTGTGAGATTGCATAATCGTCAATCGTCTTAAAAGTGTTAAATATTTTTATTACTAAACATGCATTTGAAGATGTGGAATGTTTATTAATATTCTTCACTGTCAATAATATTATGCCTGCTTCGGAAATAGGAAGCAGATTTGCAATTTCGACTACATCTTGAGCAAACAAAACCACCTACCCCTTACACCACTTTTAGCTGAACCAATCTTTCATACACGTATTTTTCAAAGGTAATATACGTGATAACAACCAATTTTCTACTTTTAAGAGATTTTTTAGTGCTGATGGCTGAGGAATAACTTTCTTATTGTTCCAAAAGGCTTGAGACATTACTGTATTTCGTTTTATAATGTAGAAGTACACCAATTGCAGGAAACGATGTCTGGCATTTCAATGTTTCTAGGAAAGACATTCTTTTTTCATTAGGCCTAATGTAATGGACAACTCTTTGGTTTTTAAAGGAAAATCCAAAAATGTTAATTTTTATACCCATTGATTATGTAAACTGAACAGGTGACTCAAGCATTTTAAAAATAATGATTGTTCTGTGGCACTTTTGATTGTTTCAAGCAGTTTTGCTTATCAAAAAACTTCAAGTAATTAATATTTAACAAATTATACAGTCACTAAAAATCATGAAATAATTTATTTTTGTAAAAAAATACGACCGACTTCAAAATGCTCTAAAAAGAATGAAATAATTTCAATAAAGTAAACTTTTGTATTAGGCAAGCTCACGTATTTTAAGTCGGTGCGGCTCTATGATGATTTTTGATACAAAATTGAAAGAGGGTGTCCATATTGCAAGTGACTATCTATAACTAAAGGTGTTAATCTGCATGTCTTTTTCATAGTTATGCGTTAAGTGTTATTTTATTACCGTCATCAGAGATCAGCATTATAGTGGTATTAACGAGTATCTTTAAAAAGATTATAACGCATTTAAATGTTTATAACTTGGAAAAGTAACGTTTTAATACTAAACTAGCTTCTTTTCCCTATCATAATATCAAACTAAATTATTTTTCTATTCATATAGAACATTTGTGTGTGTTATTTTCATAATGCATTTATTCTGAAGTAAACATAAAATACAAGAAATTATTTCCTTTAATATATAAACAAAACAGTTCAGTATGTTTTTTTTTTTATATATTTACTAGCTGAACCCGGCAGACGTTGTCTTGCCTTTGACTATTTATAATCCCGCGGGCTTTGCCCCGTTTAACTTCTTAATTTTCAAGATGATCTCGTTCGCATGGCTCAATCACGTCCTGGTTGAAGTTCGTTCGATACGCTCACTCACCTTTAGGTTGGAGCTCGTTCGCTACGCTCACTCACCTTTAGGTTGGAGCTCGTTCGCTGCGCTCACTTGCCTTCAGGTTAGCTCGTTTGCTACGCTCACTTGCCTTCAGGTTAGCTCGTTTGCTACGCTCACTTGCCTTCAGGTTAGCTTGTTCGCTACGCTAACTCGCCTCCAGGTTGAAGTTCGTTCGCTACGCTCACTCACCTTTTGGTTGCAAATTAGCTGTTGTCATAAATGTAAAAGAAATAATAGTGCTACACCCTGTTGGTAATCCTTTTAACTTTAATGCTATTGAACATCATTTGTCTATGATAGAACAGAACCAACTTGTTTAATTGAAACAGCTGTTAAGATTCATTAATTCCATTTCTCATAAGGTTAACATAGGAAACTCCAGAGCCACTGGGGCGGAGCCGATTGGACAGATCACGAAATTGATGGTGTATAAACCTATTCCATGACATTGTACACGTATGTACCAAGTTTCGTGGCAATCGGTTCAGCGGTGTCTGAGTTTATCACTGCCAAACAAACAAACAAATATATATACAAACATCCTCTTTTATACTTATAGATGTTATCCAGCTAATATTTATTGATTTTAAAAATACACACACAATATTTAATTTCAATCATATTTGCAGTTTGAGCCGCGCCGACTTGAAATACGTGAGCTTGCCTAATACAAAAGTTTACTTTATTGAAATTATTTCATTCTTTTTAGAGCATTTTGAAGTCGGTCGTATTTTTTTACAAAAATAAATTATACATTACTTAAATGGAGCTGTCAAACCATATGTTATTGTAATTTTAATTTCATTAGTATATGATCCTTTCAGTTACTTCATTTGTTTATGTTTATGATCTATTATACTGAGTCTGTTCTAATAATTGTGAAATGCTGTAATAATATTTTACAGGGAATAATTCGTTGTAAAAAAAATGTTCATGGAAATAAAGATTCTATAATCATTGCCGTATAAACCTAGGCTCTTATCCTGAGTTTTATGAGGTTTATTTTTTTATTTATTTTTGTGTAAACATTAATAACCCCCCTGCCGCAGCAAATCTATAGACTGAGCGAATTTCCATTTGCCTGATTATAATTTCAATAAAATATGTTATAAAATTAC